ATAGCTCCCATCTTATCAATCTTCCTGCTTCTAACCTCTTCCCTCCTGCTCGCTTCTTCCTAGCAAGTGCTGGTATAATTTTCTTACCACACAGATCTACCTCTGTCTCTCCATAGATCATAGACCTTCAATGGCTCCCTGTTATCTTCAAGATAAACTCTGAATTCTCAGGTCTCTCTTTACCACTCCAGCCCAGCCTTCCCCCCAAATGGCCTCTACTCTCAGGGCTCACACTTTAGAGTCCAACAAAAGCACGACCTTCTCATTTGCTCCTAGGCCTTTGCAAAGATTGTTCTCTCTGCATGGGACACTCTTCCTAATTCTTTCAGTAGGTTCACTCCTCCTCATGCCTCAGGTCTCAACTCTCATTCTGTCCTCTTGACCCAGGCTGTGTCAGCCTCCTCTTCTGGACTCCTCTATCCCCATTCCAGCCCTGAGCACTCTGAGATGTCACTGGTGACAAGCCCATCTCCCCCATTGGACTGTGACTTCCCCAGGATCAGGGACTCCAGCACATAGCTGGGCACAGAATTGATGCTTCTCACAGGGAAGGTTGCCTGATTCCTCTGTGGGTCCCAGTGTCCAGTTACACAGCAGGAACCAAGTAAAACCTGACAAATAAATTAACCAGCTGCCAGATAGGGATTTTCCAGGCTGGGCTCTAGCCTCTCCTTCCTTCATATCCCTGAGACCCCAAGTTCATCCTTGGGTCTCACCCTCAGGTCTGTCCCCCTCCAGCTCAGAAAGCTCCTCAAAGCAGGATGAGATCTGAATCTCTTTGCACGTGGAACATGGGGTCTGTCCGGAGGTATCAGGGAATGTCTGTTAAATGAGCGAATGAGAGAATGAATGGATGAATGAGCAGAAGCAGCATGGTGGGAGAGGGAGATGGTGGGGGAGGGAGGGTGAGGACAAGAAGATGGAGAAGGACCCAAGGATCTAGCAAGAGGTACACTGCTGGTTTGGGGTTGGGGTGAAGTAAGGAGAGGGGAGACGCTGGAGAGGATGAGGTAAAGGTTCAGGCTGATGGGGGGTAAGGGAGCGTAGACTGAGAGGAAACAGAACGGAATGAGATGGAAGAGAAAGAGAAGAAAAGGGTCAGGCGGAGGATGGAGCCGGGTGGGGGTG